AAAAATCCCGTTCGCATATATTACAGCAGGTCGGTCCATGTTCTCCTCTGGCCGGCCGCCGCGGGTACCGGTCCGGCGGCGCGATCCGATAGCTCGAGCGTACATGCACGGCCCGAGGACTCAGGGGTCATATATGGCGCTGATCAACGCCACCAATGTGGCGCTTCGGCTGGTGAACACCGGCTGTAGCCATTCTGCGATAGTCCCCGACGCCGAATCCTTCTTCGCATTTCAGCGATGTTACCAGCTGCTGGTATTCAACCGGTTGTCCGTATTTATGAGCAATTTTTAACAAACAACAACGGCAATATATAAGCACCTCTCAATGCAGTCTAGGCAGAATTATGCTACGTGGGAAATTACCCCGCGTTAGCCACATGTTGTAACCCACTCGCGAGCCTGCGCGCAAACATTCTAGAGGATCACATCATCTCGGATACACATCTTGCCTTAACATTCTCTACAGCAGTACCAACGTCATCTCCAATGACTCATGCTGGTCTTGCGTCATCTCACCTGTTCCGTGAAAGGTGAGATGCAGGACGTAGCTCATACAAACCATTACGTGCCTAGCCCCTGCCTCATTCCGACTCGAAGGTGGCGACTGAATGATTACTAACATGAGGCCAATATCGGTTGTAAATGAATCCAGCTCATCTTATATTTGCAACGGCATTCGTTGGCCACAGGAATTATACGATTTGGTTGAATTCACTCTGCGAAGTCAGTCTCTCTTTTCATTTCCTCCTTTATTGTATCAGCGGGAACTTACCTGGGCCCACGAGATAGCAAGTGCAGCACACGCGTAAATCGGGTGATGTTAGCTTTTAAAATGTGCAGTGTTATTTGTTAATTATCAAAATACTCCAATTTGCCTTATTTGCTGGGTTGTTCGTTTTGGTGTCGACCAACCCAAGGAATGCAATCCAAGAGCTGTATGACTTACCACCGTGCATGTAAGTGCAAACGAGAGCTTAATATAAATTGCACTGTCGATGGTAGGACACTTCATTGTCAATAAGCTAACGATGTTCTGTTTGTGATACTTACCTGTTTCGGGCATCGTAATGTAAAGAGAAAGAGGGGAGAAAGAGAGAGAGAGGGGGAGAAAGAGTGAGAGAGAGAGAGAAGAGAGAGAGAGAGAAAGAGAGAGAGAGAGAGAGAGAGAGAGAGATAGAGAGAGAAGAGAGAGAAGAGGGGAGAGGAGGAGAGAGAGAGAGAGAGAGAGAGAGAGAGAGAGAGAAGTTACAAAAACAAATTTATTACTCACTTGTAAGAACTAGCAATCTAAGCGTAAGGACAAATCCGCAGGTTGCAATTTTTGCGAATCAGGTTTGATGGCGTCAGAGCTTTACTACGACACGGTTTACGACGGGATTGAATTTATAATTTCATATTCCACACGAATTTGACGGACCGAAAGCGACAAAGAGACAACAGTCAGGAAAGGGTCCTTTAAATACCGAATTGAGGCTGAAAGCAAGAAAAGAGACAAAACGATAAATGACACCACTTTGAATACTACCAAGGACAACATGGGCTACAAATTTAAATCATACAAATCTCTCACTGAACAATTTTTTCAGCAAAATCAATAGCAACTTCAGATGGATTCCATCAAGTAGCCTGGACGTTTGAAACACCATACTTTAAACCCCGCCCCTACAAAGGGTCAAGGCCATCCTCCCCGCGAGGTTTCCCAGAACAATTTTAAAAGACTTTTGAGCACGGTACCGTTTTGCTTCTGGGTTAATGCGATTTATACCTGGTGTGAAAGCTAGAAGAGCTCATGATGTGAACAGATTATATCTATGACGTTTTTCTCGAGGGTCACTTTGATTTCATTGCACTCAAAAGCGACCAATAACGTGTTCTTGTTTATTGCAGGAATTGCTCTGTGCCCAACTTGCATGGACTGCTTCCATAAATTTGATCATGCTTAAGCACATTAATATCGTTCTGGCTGTTTTTGAAAGGTCGGTTCATCCAAGTTCAAGCTAAGTCAAAACTTTACTTCTGTGACGTGACTTCCTCTTTTCAATGCAATGCAATTTGTTACTTGTTATCACATATGTTACAGATTTGAAAGGCTTTCTCAATGCCTTTTCCCCCATTAACTTAGCTAGCTTACTTTTTTACAGCCGGACGGGTCCAGCACGACAGTCGCATGCGCCCTTTGGCCTGACATGATATCGTAGGTCATCTTTGATGTCTACTAGCGCCCATGTCATAAGGCTTATTAAGAGCTATTCAACGACGTAGTGGCAATTCTGCATTTTCGTAGCATGTTTGGTTCTTGCGGTAATAGGAGACGTCTTCAAAGTGCTTATTCGACCACTCTGACTTGATCTGAATTTCCAAAGATCACGCTCATCGCCGTTCAGCCACATCTATCTGATGCAGTTTTGCGAGAGCTTCACAATGTCGTTTTCCGTGTGGCTCTAGCTCGCTGAGCTTTTTTTAGATTGATAGGACCTCTTGAGGTCCATCATCATGGAGTAAATTTGACGAAACATATTTCCGGGACGAGGATTAATTCCTGTTAAGGTGGCTGAAATGCCCAGAAGCTAGCAATCTTGCATTAATAATGCATAAATCACATTCATTCTGATCTTGCCAGCAATGTTGCTTGAGTCAAGGGCGATATAGTACAATCATTACGTGTCTGATGTAGATCGCCCCGCATACTGCAAACCGCAGAGAGAGTGCTCCGCATTTGTATGTGTTTTGAACCGATGCAACTGCTTTTTAATGATAAAGTGCAGTGCATAGCCGTGCCATCTTTCATGCTTAAGACTTCCTTGTTTTTTTAGCTTGTTGCCTGCAAACTTGTGCAGACTATTCAAGGTCACCTAGGCATGTACGACGCCATGGAAACGTCACGCGAAGTCTCCGCCTCAATAGCTATGTAGTTTCTCAAGATTAAGAAAAATATGATTCAGCGAATTATTCGTGTTGCCGCATGTCAGCACGATGCATGACACCAACGAAACATTCTCTGACCTTCATCTTGTTGTATCCGTTGAGGCACAAGTTTCGGACACGAAGTAGTGTTTTGTGCTGCATATTATAGGAATTTGGGCATCGGTCCTTGTCATGACGGAAATACGTGACTGCCTTATATACGTGAAATATAGTGAAATACTGTCTACGCGGATGCCAGGAAAAATATAGCGTCATGGACAGGTACAACAACACCACTAGAAATTGCCAAAACACAAGCACATAGCGATATTGGGGTTCAACAAACACGCAGTAACAAACGCCATCACCTCCCGTCCGGTTAAGTACTACAGTGAGTCAGCCCATCTACGGTAGTGGCAATTCTGGCGCAGCCAGTGTGGCAGCGGCTCTGGCGTCACAAGACGTTCCATGACGTAATCAAGTGGTGATGTGGCTGAGGAACATATCTAATAGGTAGTGAACGTTTGTCATCTAGAGCAGTCCTTTGCACACTAAATAATCCAAAGTTGTAAAGGAGCTTATTGTATCAGTTTAATGGGTGCCCGAATATCTTCAAACGTGAGTCTTCTTTTTTTAAGTCATAGGGTGGATTAGTAAACAGTTATATCGTTCTGGATGCTGTCCCGCCGGGTTTGCATGGTGCTTGCACAAATTGTAGTTCAACAAGCAGTTCCGAAACATTGATTTCCTTGCAATTCTTTGGAAGGTCAAAGACCCGCTACTTTGCAAGGCTTTAGCTTAACTTATCTCAGCACCAAATCTGTAAGATCCCTTTGCACCGGACGTCTGGACGGTTTAAGTAAACTCTGAGTGAGCGCTCGATAACATTTATGTTCTAACACATATAATCCAAACCAATTTGATCGGCATTGAATTTCTGGGCCAGCGTTCGTGTTAGCAGCGTTTTTTGGTAATAGCTTAACGTGCTGGCATGCGCAGCAGGGTCCTTTTTTGCGCCTCTTTTACAGGAATTGCAGGAGTTTACCGACTGCAGGCCAGCCTAGTCGGGTACAAACAGCGAGCGCCTAAAGTGACTTTAGCTCACCATGCCACAGGGGGGGGGGGGGGGCAGGGGTGCTGAAGCCGGGACGCTCTAACCAACCAAAGCCAACTTCGGTATCGCACCAGGCTGAAATGGGGACGAACGGAGTCTCCCCAACGTTCCGTGTGATGTGTGACACGTAACGTTATAGCCAACATGCCTATAACGGAAGTAGTACATGGTTTATCCCCCAATGCTCGTAGATGTGATCACCGTCAGGATTCATCGCTTTTGTGGTCTCTGATTTTGGCGCTACTTTCATATAATACTAAACATGCAGCCAGATTTTCGAAAGGTAAGCAAAGTTCAACCATACGATGGCTGCCATGCCTTGCCTTCTCATAACCCTATTGTGCCAGCTCATGCAGCTGAAGATCTTTCCAAGGCATGCCAACCGGAACAGTGCATATATAGGCCTTTCCACAGCGAACTGTGCCTATTTCCAATCATCCTCGCCAGCAGTGCTTTCATCCGCCGTCACTGCAGTGTGATGCGCTGCGCCCACCGGCGCTTCGCTCTTGCGCGCGAGAGCTGGTCAGCTGGTTGCCGGTAGCCTCCTGCCCGGATCGCTGACCTGGCTCGGGTCGGGATGGCCTGAAGGCCTGCCGAGCGCTGGTCCGGATGCGGCCGCAGCCAGGTCCGGCACAGGGAGGAACCTCGTTGACCTGGCTTCGGGTCGGGAGGCGCTGAAGGCCTGCCGAGCCCGAGGCGGCTGGTCCGGATGCGGCCCGCAGCCAGGTCCGGCACAGCGAGGAACCTATCTTGCCCTCCCTGTACCCGGACGCTCACGCCTCCGAAGGTTGTGTAAGCTGCACCGTAGCGTGTGTCTCGCCGGGAGAAGCTGTTAGGCTCACTTAGCGAGCATCCGGTGGTCTCCTGGCCTCGGCAGTGCACACGGCCGTGCCGAGGCTTGGGGTGCGGTCGGGCAGCGTGAAGCCGATTACAACGCAGTTAAGGTAACCAGAACCGCCCGCACGCCACAACTGCAATGCAGGTCAGCATGCGAGTGAAGTGGCTGACATGTCGCTCGACCTGCTGCAAGGCATCCAGAAGTTCGAGGTGCCGCACATCAAAGGCCAGCTGGTGCAGATACGGATCGGCCTCAACACGGGGCCGTGCGTGGCAGGTACGTCTGGCGTGGCGCGGTGACACTGTCGAGGGGTGCGCACCCCCAAACAGGCATCGACGAGCTTGCATATGTATAAAAATATATTACATACATATATGCATGTATATGTATATATATACATATATATATATATATATATATATATATATATATGGTGTGTTTGTGTGTGGTGTGTGTGTGTGTGTGTGTGTGTGTGTGTGTGTGTGTGTGGGTGTGGTGTGTGTGTGTGTGTGGTGTTGGTGTGTGTGTGTGTGTGTGTGGTGGTTGGTGTGTGTGTGTGTGTGTGGTGTGTGTGTGGTGGTGTTGTGGTGTTGGTGGTGTGTGTGTGTGTGTGTTGTGTGTGTGTGTGTGTGTGTGTGTGTGTGTGTGTGTGTGTGTGTGTGTGGTGTGTGTGTGTTGTGTGGTGTGATGTATGTATATAACTACTATTTTTCCATGAGATGTCAGCGTTACGTTTTTGTTAGGAATGAATTAACCGTTCTTGAAAATTGGTCATGTGGTTAGGTTACACTTGTTAGCTACCCTTGCAGTACATCACAAGGGATTTTTATTTCGTTGTGAAGTCAGCAGTGTTCCACAAGTGCTTCGGGATGCAAAGACGTTTCTTTGAATTTTCACCGCAGCTTGCTTAGTTAACTCTCAAGAACAGAAATAACGGACTTGTCTCACTTGCATCTTAAAAGCTTTTTACAAATGGGTGCCCTATCGATGCGGCGGAGCAGTCAGAGTTCATTTCCCCTCAAGCTGGAAAATATTGGACGTGAAGTCTTTGATGCCTGCTGTAGGACCGAAGGAATACGCCGATGGACCCATACGTCCTACTCTTCGATGAACATGGTGTCAGTGGCTGCAACCTGACTGCAGCGTAACTCTGAGACTAACTCTGAGGCTAACTCTGAGGCTAACTCTTAGGCACAAATTTAGTCAAATGTCACCGCTGATCCACTCAGCCATATTAATGCATTATGGTGGCCTCGTGGGGTATGTGTTACTTCAGCTGCAGGTGTTTTGTTCGATATAGACGGAGGTTGGTTAATGAGCTGACAGTTTGATGCGTGTCATGTCGTGACCCGAATGGCATGTCAGGAATGCACTGACCCAGTCCCTGAGCCTCTGGCTGAGCGTTTTCCGTCCTGTCTTGGCGTCCAACGTCGCCGACCTCGCGCCTGGGCTCCCTCTGCCTCTGACCGTGCTGCCGGTGACCTCCGGACAGGTGTGGTGGGCACCAAGATGCCTCGTACTGCCTGTTTGGTGACACCATCAACGTGGCATCGCGCCATGGAGTCGACCGGACTTTCGTGAGTTGACAAGACGTTCATCGTGGTGTTCCTTGGTTTAGCGCCAGGTTGACGACTTGGCCTTTTTCTGCACGGGTTTGAGTTGGGTTATGTTGTTGCGATGTTTCTATGCGAATGTGAAAGAAGTGCGCGTTGAGTAAGGAGCTTCACGGAATGCTAACTTGCGTCTGTTTCGACTCTTTGACATGTAGTAATTATATGCTGTATTTGGAAAATGTACTACATATTGCAGATGACTTGTGTCGCGATGCTTACTGACCGCAAAACGCCAGTGCACTCTATTTCTCATAAAGGTACTCATTTTCCAGACGCATTACTCATTGGAAGCGTGCCCAGCGTCTGAATGCACTGTCGGGACACTTTCCATTTTCCAGCACAAATGGTGCACGTCAGCGACACCACGCACGAGCTCCTGGCCAAGACTGGCGGATATAAGCTTGAATTTAGAGAGGATGTCGAAATCAAGGTGAGCTCTCCCTTTCGGTTCGGTACGATTCCCAGCACACGGGCTTGCGGCAGTGTGATATAGTCATGACAGGGCAGCAACCGATTACCACACATGGAAACTCGTTTTTGGGCGCAGGATGCAATTGGCACTCAGCATGCTTTTCAGCAGACTTGCCCACAGATTTTAAAAGACTTGAAAGACTTTCCAGAAGTGGTCGCCAGTGGCTTGTGCTAGACAAAACTCAATATTTGAACACGGATGTGAGGGCAGGTACTATATCTCGGCCACTGACACGCACGTTAATCTCAGACTTGCTCTGTTACATGTATTGCGACAAAGCCCTTCAAACATGACGGGTAAAGGAAATTCGTGATGATTTCTACGGAAAAGATGGATTGAAAAGCTGCTTGATGGAAGATATGGGTTGAAAAGCTCCTTGACGGAAGAGATGGGTTGGAATAGCTTTTTGATGGAAGAGATGCCTGCGAACCACTCAAGTTCTGTCATAAGAATATGATCACTGAGCGTAGGAACAAGCCAGTTAAGATTTATGTGCTTTCATTTGGAGGACCCCCTGTGAGTGCTAGCGCGTTGAACTTAAAAGGGGTAGGGTCTACCGGCGGAAGTGCTTTTGACCTATTGTGTGCTAGGTGATTTAAATATATCCCAAAATGAAAACAAATGCGACCATACGGACGATTTCACCACATCCATTTTACATGTCATCTATTGATCGTTTTCCATTTTCGTAAGCTGTTAGGTGTATTTGCGAGGAAAATTATTTACATAGATAAGACAGTAGTAATAGCCTCATTCACTTCTGTTATTGTTTCGATAAAGGCACGTTGCCGAAATATCAGCACCCCTATATCTCCATTCTCCTGGTTTTTCTCCGAGGAGTGAGACTATTACTACTGTCTTACTTATAGAATTACCTGCAGCAGTGAAGGCAGTAGAAATGTTTGGTTTCTTGTGCAAGGAAAAATGTCACGTCAGTTGTGCCACATGAAGATGAAGAACAGGGTGGTGCAAATATCGCATCCAGTTCCTAGCATTTTACGTCAAGCATACCAATGAGGTACGGTGTCCCTTTGGCGGAGGAAAAACGTGGGATTAGCATCTCGGGTGCTCCCCAGAAAAGAAGACATGGCCGAGACGTGGTGTGCGGATGGCTTCCGTCACAAGGCAGCTCTGTTTGCAGGGAAAGGGCTCAATGCCCACTTACTGGCTGCTGGAGAAGGTGGGAGGCATCAGCCGCGCGTTGGAGATCAACACCCCAGGCTTCTTTGACGCCAACCAGCTGCCTGAGTTCATGAACCGTGACCTCTACAATCAGGATTAAGCCAGCCTGCAAGTCTGATGAACAGGGAATTTCATACGCTGAGCAAAGATGGGGCGACGATTAACACGGTGGTATGAGGGAGAACGTTTGCCCCTCGATCTTGCTGATACAAACAGAGGCAATCAACTCTAAGTCCGGCGGCGACGCCACGGTTTGATGTGCAGGTCGCGACCAACACTCGTACCTGTCCAGAGTGTAACACGCTGTAGATGTTTAAGGAAGCTTGGGACCACTTGTTTAAGATGAGGTGCTAGTCACGTGACTCATAGTACCCATATGTGTATTGGAGTGTTTTGCAACCATCATGATCTGCAGTGAGATAGTCTGTTTACAGCCTCGTAGAGTTGCTTGCTGACCGGTGGACTTATTCCACATGCCGAACCAACTGCCCGCAGTTACTGCATGAGAAAACTTTGCTTCCAAACAATTTGTGCGAGACGGAGGAAACTGATCTATAGTCCACGCCACGGACTTCAGTCAGTCTTTTCTTTCGTAAAACACCCGTAGATATTGCGGGCTGCTCAGGCAGCAGCTATGGCGGCGCGGTGCAATCCGACATCACATGCAATATCAGAGTCCATGTCGCGTGGTTCATTTGACCTAAGTAATCCCCAGGTTTTCGGCATAGCAATGGCTACATTCACATTACGAACAAAAGAGGCCAGTTCTCAGTGCCCCAGGGGATCATTTACAGCTCACACGGAAACTTAGATTATTCGCGTATGCTTCATTGTGCGACACACGCCATGGGCATCTCTTTCGAGCGGAGCCCTGATGGCTTCCTTTTAACAACAACCACTGTGGCAGAAGTGGGGAAAATCATTTAGGCACGGGCCGCAAAAATCGGTCTGTGCAAGAGCACTCTATCTTAAAAGAATTCACGACGATTTTGTACAAGTTAAGGAAAGTAATGCTACTCCAGAGTGTTGCAAGATGTTGAGGTGTACATAAATATCCTCGGAATATTTCCATACATGCGCATTTGCTTAAACATGGAACCAGTCCGTGTGACTAAGGGTACACATTTTTGCAAACGAATATTTTGCGACCGACATGGCCGCCTATAGGATATCGACATGGCCGCCTATAGGATATCGACATGGCCGCCTATAGGATATCGACATGACCGCCTACAGGATATCGACATGGCCGCCTATAGGATATCGACATGGCCGCCTATAGGATATCGACATGACCGCCTATAGGATATCGACATGGCCGCCTATAGGATATCGACATGGCCGCCTATAGGATATCGACATGACCGCCTATAGGACAGTCCATGTCCGTAGTCGTGGTCGTGTCCGTAGGCCAGTTCACACCTTCCGGATTGGCTGAAGAATCCGTCGCGAATTCTGCTGTTAGTCTATTGATGTGGGCTAGAAGTGTCATTTTAAGCCTGCAGACCTGCCAAGCGCGAGTATACGGACCTGAAGTGGTGCCTCTTCTGTTCGCAAAACTTGGCGACCGCAGAGCCGATCGCTGATTTTGCAGATCTCATTTGCTGCGGAGTAGAGATATCTCCTCGAGCTCTTTTTGAGCCGCGTTTTACGGGTCTGCGGACATACATGTGGCGCATCTAGTTAGCAAAAACTGACGGCTGCAGAATCTACTGCAGATTTCGCAGCCAAGCAACACGGTGTAAATGGTGATGAAGTCCATGGCTCGTAGCACGTGCGCTCCAGAGCTTTTGACTTTGAACGATTGCTGACATTTGGCTAGACTCTGCTGAAGTCAAATGCATTCCACGAGTAAAGAAGCATTCCAAGGTGTCGATAGGCACACACACACACACATACACAGATAAATGAATAAATAAATAAATATATATGTATATATATATGTATATATATATATATATATATATATATATATATATATATATGCAGATCATGTGCATTAATATAAACAGCCTCATCTGGCTTGGCAGGTTTAACAGCAACAGTATTGTTTAATATCATTTTTAGCAGCAGATGCATTCGCAACTGAGTGGCGGCGTCTCGCAGTTATCACGGTTTTCATTTTGACAAAGACGATGACAAGGAGAGAATGCGGGGAGGCCAAGACATGACACGTTGAGTTGGGTAAAGGGATGACACCTCTGGAACAAGGGATTTTGTGACCTGCAGGTACAAGTGGGGTGTTCGCCTGATAATTTTTTCTCACTTTTTATAGTTGCTGAGGGTGTTTGGAAATTCCAGTTCGGTATGCCCAGTCGTACCGGTTTTTTATCAATTGGATCCGAACCCTTTGAATGGATGGATTTCTGGGATCAGTGCTTACGCTAAGCAGTGCTTGTTGTGTGAGCCCTGACCCCCACTATCCGATCGCCGCAATGCCAGGCAACGGCAGAATTAAGTGGCGAAGGCTTAACGTGTCATGATGCTCGGCACGGTCCGTCCTGCCCTCTGACGTCAACTGACCTTTAGCGCGACCGCTGCCACCGGCCGCAGGCCATACCTGTCGAGGGCAAATAGCGAGCGCCCTGAAGCGACTCGAACCCAACCCGCCACGGGCGGGTGGATCGGGAGGCAGGCGCTCTAACCAATTAAGCCACCGGGACGGCCAAACGGGCGACCGGTTCGTCCCAAGCTCCATTTAATTTCACCTTGCATTATGAAATGATTCATTGAAAATGTTTCTACGTTAAGTGGTGATGGGGGTAAGAAATGTTGCATGGGACGCGTTGGCGTCCAGGCTTCACAGGTCAGCAGGGACCGCAGTGGTCATGCAGACGACCGGGACACGCTAGACAGGGGTCGAGTCCCTTGGAAGCCAAATAATGCCCCCAACCGGCCTCATTCCGTTCTGGTGTGTTTGGATGCGTTCCTTGGGTCGTGCTGAAAACATCAAATATTAGTACCACAGCAAACAGTTTCATGACGTTTATAGATCCGCCCAGTTGATGGTATTTACCAAGTGATGACACGGGAAAATGTGCGTAAACATGGTGTAAATATGCTGGCGCCGTTTGTCCTATGTCATAATGGTGCAAGCAAAGCAAATAAGCGTAGTCCGTCTACGGAAATGGGTGCATTTTCGCTGCGCCTACTTAAGTTTCGTGTTCGTATGTGTTGTGTTATTTGTTGTAAGCACCATGGATGTTTGTAATGGTTTGACTGGTATTCACTTAGTGAGGAACGAAATAGGTAACAAGCAGCAGTGAAAATTTGTACCCATGAGAAAATGCCCCGTATTTTTGCACATGGTAGGTAACAA